AGCTTCAGTTTAAGCCCCCGGACCAGGCCGGTACTGTCTGTGCTTACAGAGCTATGACAGCATGCTTAAGGGGGCATCAGTCCAGGTGGACACAGGGGGAGGACTAGAGGGATTCTACAACAGTCCTGCGTTCGGCGCAGAAATGTTTCCAAAACACAGAGGACGGTTTTCGGCTAAAGAGAGCCGACAACGGCCAGAGCTTCACCTGACACTGTTAACTTGGGTTTCGAACACAGGGCAGGGAGTGCTGGGCTAGGAAGCAGCCCCCCCCCCACCTCAAAACCACACAGAACGAGCCGGGCCCTTGCAGACCCATGGCACAGTAAGGTCCCTCACGCACCACACTCTTGGGCAAGTAATTAGTATATCCATATTAAAAAAATCAAGAAACACTGGGATGCATCTTGCATCTCGTATTAGCGATGCTTATATTACAATATACTGAAATCCTGCTCGTTTTTTTTGTAGCACTTATTGAACCACACCAGGGATTCTGTTAGCAGTGGTCGAATACCAGCACATTTTAATATCACTTCATTCATTTTCACCTGATCACCTCAGCTCCACAAAGCCTGGTATAATTAAAGTACTTATGATACAGTGCCCGGCTCAGCTTTTCCTTTCAAGTGCGGCACCATTCCAGATTCCAGATTCCTGCCTGGGGGGGGATTTAGATATTCCAAAGCAGTGAGGTACGGGACTCTGCTGTGCTCATTAGTTTGGAATTATGTAAGAAAGGGAAGGGAGAAAAACTCCTTTGGCTCAAAGGGCAGCTAATGCACAGCAGTGTGGACTCGACTCCTCTCGTCTGTACCCTTTTCTAGCAGCACTGGGGAATTAATTCGCTGCTGTCAGGCAGTGGGATTTTAAGTCTGCGCTCTGCAGGATGCAAAGATAATATTCCAACTGTATTCTGGACACTGGCCCCAGTCTATGGCAGTCCACACGCATATTGAGCCCTTTGGAGAAAACAGTTCACTTAGACTGCATGTCATTAAAGCACCCTGAGCACACCTTTGTGAACATAGGGAGAGCATGCAAACTCCACACAGAATGTATCCAGGCCAGAATTAAACCACCACTCCACCATAAAAGGTATTTCCTGCTGCAGTCTGGACAGGAAGTGGGGAAACTGTGTGTGTGTGTGTGTCCCTTTTGTCTCTGGGCTGTGAATACAGTGACTGACCGACTGGACACTCAGGCAGAACCAGGAATCTTACAGTACAGACAGGGAACAATCCCACAGGACTCAGACCAAGAAGGAATATGACATGGTAGCTGCTCCTTAATTACCTCTTAAACCCAGCTATGACTTAACAAACACAACGCATAGCACAGGACCTCTTGGAGATCTCTCACCGGTCGAACGGTTGATCTGTGATCAGGGATCATGGAGTAAAAGCTTTATTTCTCGAACAAACGAACCAGTTCCCGGTGTCTGATTCTGCTTTCCCCTTGGCCTTTCCCATATGCACCCCCTTGCTAGTGGGGTCACCCGCCACCTGGGAACGGGAAGTGGACAAAACTGACAGGAGCCAAGAAAAAAACAACACATCACAGCAGCGGGAGACGACCACCCGGCTGCCTGTTTTTGGAATAACAAGTGAATCACCCCGTTCTCAGCAGATGTCACCCCGAATCACAGCCCCATCGACGGCCGAGACCATTGCTGTGATTTGGGAGAGCCGGTTGGGACGGTCAGTTTCGGGGTGACCTTCACTATACTTGTGCTCCCCTACTGGACGGTGTGTGGGGGGGGCAGCTGGGGTCAGCCCTGCGACAGACACACCCACACAACACTGGCACAACGCAACACAGTCACTGCACAACACTGCGGCACAGGGGTCATGCAATGGCACAGAGATGGGGGGGGTGGCGAGGAGAGACAGAATGTGGGTGACCAGAGACGGGGGGGGGTCTGTTGAGGGGTCCTAACACACACTGAACGAATACGTCTGGTGATCTAGTCCTGTGCCATCTTCCCCAAATGGAGGAGGTCAGCTTCTTATCTCGAGCTTCCTCTCTGCAGTGTGTAAATAAGTACTGGCTGGTACCCCCCTCCCTCCAGCACTCCCTGGCTCACTCCTCGAGCTGGGGGGGGGCGTGTCAGGTGAGTTAATGCCAAAGTATTAAGCACTGCACTACTGAATCAGGCTCGGTCCCAGAATTGGTGGGGCCCTGTGCACTGTGTGTGTATCCACAGAGTGTGTGTGTCTGATAATCGCCCCCCGGTACTGCTGGGCAGGCAGCAGGGCACAGAGACGGGGGGGGGGGTGTAGAGAGGCGGAGAGGAGGACACCGATGTGAGAGAGCGTCTGTGGTCTCGTCTTTGGTGTGCGGGGTTTGTGGATATGTGGAAGGAGGTGTGCGGATACAATTACTCTGGCTCCGTGACCCCGTGACCCTGACTGACTGCACTGTCCCATGAGCAGGCCGGGGAAGGAGAGCCAGTGGCAGGGCAGGCAATAAGGTGGCACACGGGCAAGGGCGCAGGATGTGGATGGAGTGCGTCACGGGCTAGATGATGCTCTCGAAGAGCAGGTTGGCCTTGTCCTGGCCAGGGACAGGCAGCAGCTTGGCCTCAGACTCGGGGGCGAGATACTCCAGGTGGTGCCGCCCCCAGATGGGGGTCGTCAGGTACTGCCAGCGCTAGGGAGAGACGGACATCTGTCACAGTGGCACAGGTGGGCACACACACACACTGTCAGACAGACAGACTGGCACTCACACCCACTGTCACAGACAGACAGACCGGCACACATACTGCCACTGTCAGAGAGACAGAAATACTGTCAGAAAGACAGGCACAAAGACATACAGGTCACAAGAAGCACACAGATGACACACTGGTGACACACAGGTACAGAGACAGACAGGGGGCACACACAGGTGGAACACAGGTATGGAGACAGACAGGTGGCACACAGGTACACAGACAGACAGGGGGCACACAGGTACAGAGACAGAGGGCACACACAGGTGGCACACAGGTATGGAGACAGACAGGTGGCACACAGGTACACAGACAGGCAGGGGGCACACACAGGTACAGAGACACACAGGTACACAGACAGACAGGGGGCACACACAGGGGGCACACACAGGTACAGAGACACACAGGTACACAGACAGACAGGGGGCACACACAGGGGGCACACAGGTACAGAGACAGATCGGTACAGAGACAGACAGGGGACACACACAGGTACAGAGACAGACAGGGGGCACATACAGATACAGAGACAGACAGGGGGCACATACAGGGGGCACACAGGTATGGAGACAGACAGGTGGCACACAGGTACACAGACAGGCAGGGGGCACACAGGTACACAGACAGGCAGGGGGCACACACAGGTACAGAGACAGACAGGTACACAGACAGGCAGGGGGCACACACAGG